TGATATAAAATAAGGCGAATCCCAAATCGACACTAAACAAGCAGGAAATAAAAATCACTAATGGCCATTGGCCTTATTACATTTTATAAGGCGAGAAGATAAACTCCTATCTACTTGGTCCCAGATGGACCTTCCTCAGGTTGAATGCTCTCGTTGATCAAATCCTCCAGTTCGCGTAGGTTCACCAGTAAAAATGCCTTTGCCAGGTGTTCTCCTTTGTTTCCCTCAGCGTTCTGGTAGTCGGTGACTCTCTTCCTCACTTTTCCTTCTAATTCTATCAGACTGTATTCCAGATATTCCAACTTTTCGCTAGCTCTGGCGGCCCTCTCTTTCGACTCATTGATTTGGTCATTTGATGGAAGACTCCTCCACCAGTCTAGCAAGAGTGGGGGCATGCTAACCATACCGAAACTGGGGACCTCGTTCTTCATCTTCTGCAACACAAACAAGGTTAGGCCCTTACCCCCGCCAGACTCGATCATTTAATATCAACAATTGGAATAAATCATTTAGTTCTTCAAACAAATGCACAGAACGTGGTGATGTCCGTTTGGGTTTAGGAAAACCTAGTGGACTTTGGACAGGGCTTATCTTAAAGAGTCATTATGCGGACAACATAACTGACTCGGCTAGGTTTGACTATGATGCATGCATAGTTTAAACAAAGTAAGGTTTCTATGGGGTTTTAGACTGGTACCCTTGAGCGGACAACTCAAGGGGGAAAGGCACGGAAGCGTCGACTACACCGTTGATCGACTTGTTTTACCGCAAATATGCCTTTTTCGAATTTAGGGGTAATAATATAGGAAGGGCGCAACCACTCATTATAAGCGTTGCTATGGTATTTGTTTGGCAAGAGTGGAGTATAATGTTGAGCATGATTATGTAATAATTAAAACTATGTTGGCACATATTTGCACGTTAAGACAACAGTAAATACAACAGTTTTATAATTTAAAGCAGTAATAAAGGAAAGAAACAAAAAGACAAGTCAGTTTTGCAATTTAAAAGGGAATTGAATTCTTAAAGGAATTAAACAAGTAATTGCACAAAAAGAGGTATGAATTCACAATAATAGTCTGAAATGATAAAACCCTAAATATCCTCAGCAGAGTCGCCATGCTGTCGCACCCTCCTTTTTCTCGCGAAATCGGGTTTATGACATTTGGTACAAGACAACTTGTTCTTTTTGGGAATTGGGTTTTGCATTTTGAAGAGTCGTCACCTAATGATTTAAGGTGCATTAGGACACCAATAGAGTTCAATTCTAAATTTCGTTGGAATAACCAGAGATAGGGTAAGGGATTGAAATTATTCCAAGGGGAAGGTGTTAGGCACCCCTCAGGATCCACTAGTGTGGTTCCCGGCCAGACAGTTTATTGTGAGTTTATCAAATAGATACATATAGGCTTAAATATTAGGGGATTTAAATTTAAACATATAAAAGAAAGAACAATTAAAAGAAGAGTTTTAAAAAAAGAGTTTGCAGATAAAGGAAAAGGGGTCCTAGGTTTATATTTAATATGAATCACATCAATGCGATACCCAGTATGACACTCCTCAAAAGAGGGGATACACGTGGTATTAGCGCATCGGTCATCATATCCATATCTACCCTTCCCATCCTGTTAAGGTGTTAAAGCGCGGATTGGTCTCGATTACTATTGCATGCTATTTACCCCTTCCATTTCTATCAGTCCCCGAGGAGCTTAAGACTACTATTCCGAAAGGGGAGAGATGTTAGGCTAATTTTTGGATTCAAAGGGTAAATATCTAAGGCGACATACAAAACACATATACTGCATGTTGGGGAAGCATATAAACAGGTAAAGGCTCATGTACACTTCCTCAAACAAAATACATAAATAGCATGACTTGCACATACTTTTTAGGTCTGATTAAATTAGTAAAGACGAGGGGAGTTTGATTATTGAGGCAGATCTATTTATTACATAACTCATATAAGAAGTCTGAATCAGGCCTGCCTATTGGTTGTAGCAATTAACAAAAGTGGATTCAATTTTATGGTCTTGCCTAAGTGTTTTAGGTGAGGTCCTATAGACATGATATCTAAATGATTCAGAATGTGGAGAAACAGTAACAACTTAAAGCAGATTGTTTGAGATCCTATAGGCATGCTTGCTAAACCTCGTTAAATAGAGAAGGAAAGTTGTTTAAAACTGATTCAGAATCAAACTGATTTTAAATTGAACTAGTTTCAGATTCTGTAGGTGATAGTATCTAATATTGCTGATTTTAATCCCTATAGGCATGATTTCTATATGTTATACTGATTTCAACCTTATGAGCATGATACTTACTTATATCCATTTAGAACTTAAAACATGATATCTAAGTGGCATGCAGAAATTAAATAAGTCCTATAGGCAGGTTATCTAAGTGTGAAGTTGATCATGAAGAAATTAAGATAAACCCAATAGAAATGGTGTCTAAAAATGCAGAATTGGACATGTAGAAATTTAAGAAAGACAGTCCTACAGGCGTGCTTTCTATCATTGAGCATACATGATCATCCAACCCTTTTCACTAGCTAACCCCAAGTGTTTATTACAAATTATTACAGACCAGAAGTAATGAATTACACCAGAAAAGTACAAAGAGAATGAACAACCAGAGGAAGCCTGATTCTTGACTTCCTCTTTGAGTTATGCAATAAACCACCTCAAATTCCATTGATACAAAGTCTTTCTCAGACTTGAGTGTGTCAAGGTTTCCTAAGGGTCTCAAGAGGACCCCGGGCAGTCCTCACACCCAAGTTACACAACCAGAATAGAGATGAGTGCAGTGTGGAAATGACAGCCCTTATGTGTCCAAGTTTAGAGAGAGCTCATGGGTCCCAAGGCAAGGCTCACACAAGGGGGGGCAGAACTTAAGGTCTAAGAAGATAGTGAAAGTGCAGGAACAGAGTTTCAAAACTGAAGTGATATGGAGACAGTAATCAATAACACATAGAGTTAATAACTTCATACAAAGGGGGGTTGGGAATCCATTGCAAGGAGCCTATATACATATGCATGGGTTAGCTTTGGGCATGCACATCAATGGGAAGTGCTGACATGCTTGTAAACTAATCAGAACATACAACATATGAGAGAAACATGGAGGTTATGATCCCAGAGGAATCTGGTTTGGGTCATGCACAGCAATGTCCCATGCTGTCATGCCCCAAACCAACCACAACACATTGGGGTAGGGGTTTAAGATTCACAAGTCATGATACATTAATTCTGAATAGGAAAAGGGAAAATTACAGCATGCTTAATAATGGTACTGAGTTAAATACAAACAGTAGACAAACAAGAATGCAAGAAACAGTAAATAATCATGTTGTTATTGTTGCAGAAGCTTAATTAGATCATACCAGTAAGAAATACGAATGCAGAGAAAAATAATCAAGTTTCCCATAGCCTAGCCTTGGCTTTCAGCCGGCTAGGTAAGGCAGCAATACAAGTAGTAACTGAGAAAAGAGAGAGATTTGGTGGGGTGTGTGTCTAAACTCAAGTGTTTTATGCCTTGTGTTCGTGTGTTTGAAAGAAAAGAAGTGCAGGGTATTTATAGCTTTCTGAAAACGAGTAAGAGAGAAGTAATAAGCTGCAAATATGGAAACAATCACAATTCAGAATAAATTATACAAGTATTTGCCTTTAATTAAGGGATCACTTGCTTAACGGGCAGTGATAGGTTCAAAATAAGGAAAGAAATCAATTTATAAGCAGGCTGACAATTGCCGTAAAAGAAGTAGTAAAACATTAAGTAAGCAATCGAGTCTAGGTACAGAAATATTCTAATTTCGGAATGGATTCAGTAAGGCAAAACAAGAAAAGAAATCAATTAACTTTAACAGGCGAGTAAAATCAGAATTTCACAAAAGAAAAGTTTGAAATTAGTCACACAATTGAAGGTCAATCAAAGAAGGAAACTCTGCATATAAATAGAGTGCATAAGCACTAGACATGCGAGGCCAAACTATTGGCAAAAGGAAATAGCGTGCAACAATAGCACAAAGTTAGTAAACAACAAACATTCGAAACATGATAGTCACGTAGGTCAAGTTTCATTGACTTAGTAGTAGAGAAAAAAATAGAGTATCATAAGCATGCAAAGGGTCAACTGAAAAACCCTTCTGAAAAGCATAGTCGAGTTTCAAAAATAGTAAGAACCCAGAACCAAAGGAATCACATAAAGAAAAGAGATGCTGAAACAAAAGAATTTCAAATCAAGTCAAGCAATTTCACACAAATGAATTGCACAAGCAATTTCAGAAACTCGAATAGACCCCAAAGAAATTAGGGTTTTCGAAACCAATCGAGTTTAAAGATGATGAACAAATAGATTACACAAATACTTAGCAGACTACTTCAGAGACTCGAATGAACCCAAAAGAAATTAGAGTTTTCAACACCAATCGAGTCTAGAGATGATAAACAAGTAAATCAAACAAATACTAGCAAATAGACTCAAAAACCTCAAAAAAATCTGGACTTTTATCATGCAAACTCAGATAGAAGGACAATACGAGCAAACATAGCAAAACATGTCAAAAATCAGAGAAATTTTTTGAAATAACTTAAGAGAAAAACCTAATCGGAAAAGGTAAAGAGTGTTGAAAGCAAAGTTTTAAAAGAAACTTCGAGAAAAATGCTTAGAAGTTCAAAGCAAACATAGATCTGAAGCAGATCTGAAATAAATCGAAGAACCTTACAGATTAGGGTTTCAGAAGAACCCCAAGTGACGAGAAAGGCCTTGAAAGCCATTGATCTAAGCAAGAGAGTCAAAGGTCTGACTCGAATGGCCATGGCTTGCCGGAGAAAGATCAGAGACAACCAGAGAACAGTCATCGAGCAAAGTCTGGACCAAGCCCCTTCATGATCTGGTCATGAGACCACAGAAACAAACACGTAGAAGCTATGTGAGGCTAATATAGGTCTCCGATGACCTTGGAAGGCCATGGATTAGGGCGGATTAGGGTGGCAGCGGCTAGGGTTTGAGGGTGTTGTAGAGAGGATTTGGGAGAGGAGGGTTTTAGAGGTGGCGTGTTGTGAGGAATGAGTTAGGGTGAAGGGGTCGTTTGGGTTAAAAAAGGAAAGGGTGATTATTGGCCATTGATCTTGAAGGATCAATGACCTGGATTAAAACGGGTAAGTGGGCGGTTTAATGGGATAGGGTTTGGGTCGGTTCATATTGCAATTGGGTCGGGGTAAGTGGGCTTCAAATTGGGTTCAAATCAGGCTATAATTGAAATAAAATGGGGCTAACTTTTAAATAGCCAATTTTCCTTCTATGATTTATAAAAAATAATAAAATAATTTCTTTAAATAAATTAAAGGTGCTAAAATGATTTACAGTACATAATTATAAAATTAAAAATACTGGACTTAAATTTTATATATATAAACACAATTAAATCTAAAAGAGGCTAAAATTGCAATTATACACAATTTAGACTTAAAAAATACTAAATCAATTATAAAAAATATGCAACAAATATATTAGCTATATTAAGTATAAATATGAGAATCCAATAAATGAATCACTAAAAATGATAATTTTGAAAATATTATTGGGTTTTTTATGAGTAAAATAGGGGAATAAATTGGTTTTAAAATCTTTAAAAATTATGAAAAAATAGTAACACAATTGGAAATACTTATATATGCATACGCATGCTATTTTTGAAAGTATTTTACATATGAAAAATATACAGGAAAAATTGGGTATCAACACCCACCTTTACTCAGGTACTTCCTTCTTATGTCCGTTCGAGGACGAACGATTGTTTTAGAGGTGGAGAATGTATCTTCACTTTCTTTAAAATTGAATTCTGTGTTCTAAGGCCTTGAAAACCTCATTTAGCATCACCTTAATTTGCGTGCGCAGTCCAGGCGCGTAGCTGGAAATCTTAAATATGAAAATGTGATTAAAAATGATAAATTTTGACTATAAAATGAATTACTTTAACTTGGGTCAACGTTTTGGGTAAACAGACCGAACCTGTGATTTGACAATCTAGGATGGTCCGTAGGAAAATATGGGAATTGGGCGTATGCCCGGAATCGAATTCCGAGGTCCCAAGCTCGAGAAATGAATTTTTTAAAGAAAATTATTTTCTGAAATTATTTAAAGGATTTAGAAATGTATTTTGATTAAAACTCTTGGGTATCGGGCCCGTATTTTGGTTTTGGCACCCTGTATAGGTCTTATATATGATTTAAGGCGATCCTGTGAAATTTGGTGAGAAACGGATATCATTTGACGTGATTCGAACCTTAAATGCAGATTTGGTGTTTTAAGAAGTTTTGAAATAATTCTTTGATTTTGAGGTTTAATTTGATGTAAATGATGTTATTTTGGCGATTTGATCGCATGGATAAGTTCATATGATGTTTTTGAGTTAGTACGTATATTTGGTTTGGAGCTCATAGGGCTCGGGTGAGTTTCGGATGTGTTTCGGAAGGTTTTAAACTCTTAAAAAGTTGCAGGTTTTCAGTTGCTGGTATTCGGGATACAATTGATTTGGAGCCGAGTTCGAAAGGAAAACCAGTGTTTGAGGCTTGAGTTGACCGTGGAAGTTCGAGGTAAGTGTTCGGTCTAACCTTAACTTGAGAGATTAGGAGTTGTGTCCTATTTGCTATTTGCTTATTGTTGAATACGACGTATAGGCATGGTGACGAGTATCTATATGTTGGTGTCGAGCATGACTGTGAGTCTTAAATTGAAATTTGTTGTATTCTTAAATGATACTACGGATGCTTTAATTGATGATTCTCGATATTGAGCAAGGATTGAGTTTCTTTTCGTAGAAGTTACTTATGACTGGATATTGTTGTTAGCTAAGATGAGTAGATGTTGGGTTAGGATTGGTTATAGCTGTTTCTCCCTTGCCGGGACGTAATTTGTTTTACTGTTGAATCCCTTGCCGGGATAGAGTAGTTTATTGTTGATCCCTTGCCGGGACTCGTGGTATGGTTGTTATTAAAGGAATACAAATATATGGGTCGGATTGCACGCCACAACAATACTAAATATGGATCGGGTTGCACGCCGCAACAATGTTATAAATGGATCGGGTTGCACGCCGCAACAATGTTATATATGGATCGGGTTGCACGCCACAACAACGTTATATTGGATCGGGTTGCACGCCGCAACAGTGATATAAATGGATCGAGTTGCACGCCGCAACAGTGTTATTATTGTTTTGTTGTACATTTGGAATCATTCTCCCGTATTTTCTTAAGTTTCTGCTGGATTTGATATTTTCTCCGTAGCATATTCTCCCTCCCATTTAAATTGTTTATTCCTGTTTATTTTCCGCTGTATATTATATAACTGCACAGGTTTATCTGGGGTTTGGTCCTAGCCTCGTCACTACCTCACCGGGGTTAGGCCAGGCACTTACCAGTACATGGGGTCGGTTGTGCTGATGCTACACTCTGCACTATGTGCAGATACCAGATCAACTTTTGGACAGTATCACTTGGGGAGCCAGCCTTCAGTCCAGCCATAGATCCCGAGGTAGTCCTTCAGGCCTCCGCAGGCCCGACGTTCTCTTCTATTTCATTATGTACTCTATTTTCATTAGATTTTGAGACAGATCGTATTCCTTTCTGACATTGGTTGTAGTAAATCTTAGTCCGTCCGTGAATATTGTGACACCAGATTTCGGGTAGAGGAGTATATTGGCATTGTAGCACTGGCTTGCTTATTTTTAGCTGTTTAAGTATTCCACTTATTCTGTTTATCGTTAATTTTTAAAGTATTGATTTCCTGTTAATTCAAGTTGTTAAAAAGGATTAAAATGAAAGAGTTAGATTTTCTATATTTCGTGGCTTTCCTAGCTTCTACGAGTAGACACCATCACGACTCTCAAGGGTGAAAAATTTGGGTCGTGACAGGGGTCAGAGACGGAGCTAGCACATACATTGCGTGTTCGATCGAACTCGGTAGCTTTGGTCCAAATTATGTATTTGTCTTAAAAATTTATTAAATATGTACAAATTATTAATATAGAAACTAGTAGCTTAAAAGAACTAAAATTCTCAACTCATAAGTTTTAAATCCTGGCTCGCCTCTGATTTGAGAAGGATATAATATACGGAGACCTTACCCTCATATTATATAGGTAAAGACATTATTTCCAATAGACCCTAGGCTCATACGTTTTCAATAAATAAGAGACCATGTGAAATTATACATGGTTTTTTTCGTTTAGTTTTCTCTTGGATTTTCAGTATGTTGGACTTGATACTTATAAAAACTCAAAGAAATAACATGCTCTGGTGTATAATATCTATAAGAAAAATATCTTGTTGTCGAGACTATCTTGTACCATCACAAAATACAAAAAAGAGAAAAGTTTGCATAAACGTCTTTAATGAATTGGAGAATTAAAAAACTTAGAAAGGAACCTTGAAACGGTCAAGTTGTTTTTGTGTAACTTATAGGTTACGGGTTTGAGTCGTGAAATCAGCCACTGACTATATCACACCCAAGGGCAAAGGTACATAGCCCTAAAGCTGGTCTGTTGACCACCTTTCGTCGAAAAATTACACTGTATATATAGGTAAAATATTTTAATGGTATATAACATATATTGAACACCCTTTATCGGATTTTTTTTATTTATTTCAAGTTTGAACACCCTATATGAAATTTCAGGCTTTGCCACTGATCACACCCCCTTGAGGTGTGGCCCTTCCCGAATCCTGTGAGAACACGAGATACTTTATGCACCGGACTGCCCTTGATAAAATAAAAAACTATAGTAGTAGGTTGATATCGATCTCTATTCGATCTTGGTTCATGATCGACAGTTCTTTTGGATCTATCACTAGTTCTGACTGGATACACGGATCCGGAAGGGGTCCCAAGCAGATCATCTTCGACTCTGATTTTTGATTGGTACCTGTTATGGATGTAGGACCAAGTTACCGCCGGGTATGCTACCAAGTTTTGTTTCAACTGATGTGATGCCAATGAGCTTTGAGGGTTGAGTCCTTGTTGAATGCCTGAACGGCCCAATCGTCCGCGACCGGAGGTAGATCCATCCGTTCCATTTAAAACCTCAACACGAATTCCTTGAGCATTTCGTTATCTCTTTGCTTTACCTTGAAAAGGTCTTACTTCCTAGTTTCAACCTTTATGGCCCTGGAGTGCGCTTTTACAAATGCATTTGCAAGCATAACAAACGAGTCAATAGAATATGTTAGGGGGTAAGTTGTGATACTAATATCTCATTTTGACAAGGTCTCTCCGAACTTTTTCAGCAGAATGGATTCGATCTCATCATCCTCCAAGTTGTTCCCCTTGATGACACACGTGTAGGAGGTCACATGTTTATTTGGATCAGTCATTCCATTATACTTCAGGATTTTGGACATACAGAACTTCTTAAGGATCGACTTCGAAGTTGCGCTCAGAGGGAAAGGCTTTTGGACAAACTTCTTAGAATCCAGGCCTTTCAGTATCGGTGGTGCTCCTGGGATTTGATCGACCCTGAAGTTATATGTCTCCACTTTTTTTGTCATTAGCTTCAATTTTCTTTTCTCCCGATTCTACCTGTTTTGTCAATTCCTCGAGCATCTTAATAGTCTCGGGATTGGTCCTGGGTTTAGCTTCACTCGGCCTTTCTGTGACTGGTTCATTTCTGCGAGTGTATTCCCGGGATGGTTCAGGCTCAACTCTTCTAGGGGCGCAACTTTGGTTCTACAACTGGGCTACCGCTGCCTGTTGAGCCTGTAACATTTCGAAGATCACCCGCAAGTTGATCCCATCGCCTTCACCACCAAGCGCATCCCTAGCTACCGATCTTGTTCCTCTGCGAACACTATTTTCTGGATCGGTGGGAAAGTTTGCATCGATGGCCACATGGGAGTTGGCATTGATTGGGTCTGCAACCGGGGCCCCGTTGGGGTCAGTAGGGTGAACCTCGTTACTGGGCACTATATTGTTGTGCTCGCCATGGTGGCCAGATTTGGCATCAACGTTTAGGTGAGCAGATTGAGAGTTTTGACATCCTTAAATTTTTCTGAAATTAAGATCTCAAAGAACAAGAGTAAAGCAAAGTGTATTGTGGAAATTTGTATCAAATTGCCACTATTATCCTTAGCCCTATGGTGGGCTCCAATCTATTTATCCTAAAAACAGATAACAATTGAAGTTATATGTGGTTTTAAGGATATGCGGATTAATTCAACATAAATTATAAATTGCGTTTGATTAAATAGATAAATGACATAATAAATTGTCAAACCACTTAAGAGGAGTGATTCCGGGCCCAGTAAAAGCCTTAGTGAAATGCCTGCCTTCAATCCTGGACTCACAATAACAAAGCACTGATGAACAACAATAAGAATTTTGAATAACAGAGAAAATGAGAGTGTATTGCCTTGATGTGCATGTTACAATATCCTAGTGAATAATTAGACTCCCCTTTATATCGTAAGGGATTTTTACCCTAAGTACAATTCTATAAAAGGTAAAATCTTCCATTTTACTAATCACTGATCTTTTGTCGGTATGTGCCGAGATTCACACCGTGATATCAGGCTGGGCACGGATATCACAGCCCTTTGTTAGTCGTGTTCGATTATCTGATAACGTTCTCCGAAGTTTAGGGATTCGAATCTGACCAGGAGGCGTGGCCTCGATTCGTCTGAAGGCAGTTGTTTTGCCCGGACCTCGATTCGAGGGGCTCCTTGCCTCGATTTTGGTTCCTTACAGTCACATCTTTTCTCTGTTTACTTCATCGATAACTGAGGCGTCCAAAGGGTCCGATTTCACCCGTACACATTGTATACAATCGAGATCGAATACCTTCGATCTATATGCTTGAGAGGTCATCCGAAGTCCGAGTCTGGGTAAGACCAAGTTCGAGCTCGAGGAACCAGACCCGAGTTCGAGGGCGAAGCATGATGCATACCGAGGTCGAGCATGCTCGACCTCGAAATAGTACCGTTATGGATTTGTACCAGAACAAGTTAGATTCCTGCCACATCTCCAAAGTCATGGCGCAAATCCCGGAATATGATTGTGCGATTCCGTATTAGGCAGTTAGACAGCTGTACCAAGAATATTCCTTATTGTAAATAGAAATATTCCTTATTTAGGGCTCTCCTATTATATAAAGGGGACCCCAATCATTTGTAAGATATCTTATCATCACTGAGAAAAGAATATACTTTCTACCTTTTTTGCCTACTGTTCATCAGCATTATCCTTTAGCTCCATTGTTCTTACTTTATTTTTATTATTTAATTGTTCTTACTACCCTGAGCCACCTTGAGGTCATTATTGCTAAGTAACATTGGTTTGATTCACTTCTATCTTTCATTTCTACTTCATATTTCTTGATTGTTAATTGGTATTGAACTAAATCACATATCTTTAAAACTACTAATCAAATTTAATTATTACTCGTATTTTCGAGGTAAACAGTTTGGCAGCCGCCCTGGGGCTAAATATAATCGTGATTATTTCTTTACTGATTCTCGTTACACATGTTGTTTTTACACTTTTTCTTGTCAAGATTTGTTGATTTTTCAGGCCGAAACATGTCTAGCTCACAAAATGCACCCATTCACGATAACGAAGGACTTGGAGAAAACAACAACGCAGGAGTCGGTGTACCACCGATAAACCTAGGTGAAGTGCTGAATGTGGAACCTGTTGATGTTAGTTTGCACATTGCTTTAGATCTAGGTACGGACCCCGAAATAGATATACGTAGGGAAGCCCGGCCTGGTGGCCAAAGAACACAAGGAATGGAAGAAGGGGGAGTCAGCCTCCAAGTGATATTCGAGATGCTGCAAGCTCAGCAAATCGCCATCGCTCAACTTCAGAGTCAGAATAGGACTCCAAACATAGCCGAACTAGTAAACACTCGGCGTACTGAACTAGCATTAGAAAGGCCCGATGAAAGTGGCCCGAGGACTGACCCCACGATTATGATAATGCTCGAGGAACTAACCAAGAGGATCAAGTCCGGAGAAAAGAAAATTGAAGAAAATGATAAGAAGGTGGAAACTTATAACTCCCTGGTAGACCAGATACCGGGGGCACCTCCAGTTTTGAAAGGTTTGGACGCTAAAAAATTCATACAAAAACCATTCCCCCCAAGCGCGGCTCCGATTCCTATCCCCAAGAAGTTTCGCATGCCCGATATACCCAAATATAATAGGACAACTGACCCTAATGAGCATATTACTTCTTACACTTGCAGAATCAAAGGAAATGATTTGAATGATGATGAAATTGAATCAGTTTTGTTGAAAAAGTTTGGGGAAACACTATCAAATGGAGCCATGATTTGGTATCATAACTTGGCTCCTAACTCCATTGTTTCATTTGCTATGCTAGCAGATGCTTTTGTGAAAGCACACACTAGGGCCATAAAGGTGGCTACGAGAAGCTTGGACGTCTTCAAAATAAAGCAAAGGAACAATGAGATGCTAAGGGAGTTCGTGTCCCGGTTTCAGAAGGAAAGAATGGAATTACCACCTGTCTTCGATGACTGGACAATACAGTCCTTTATGCAGCGTCTGAATGAAAGGAGCTCAATTGTATCTCGACAATTAAAGCAGAACTTGATCGAATATCCAACCATGACATGGTCAGATGTGCACAATCATTATCAATCAAAGACCAGGGGAGCCTCCTCAGGTTTAGTTCATCCTAACAGATTCGTAGCCACGCCCTCAAGGGATACAGACCGGGAATCAAGATTTAACAAAGAATGGTATCAGCCATATGCCGATCAAAGGAACAACGACCCAAGCCGTAACACTCCTCGGAGCGATCCGAGAAACGATCGAGTGTCAAAGTTCTTGTGGACTCACAAGTAAGAGCGGGTTCGATAAGCACACCGACCCCACCGAGGCCCCTCGATTATCACAGTACAACTTCAGCATAGATGCATCAAGGATCGTCTCAGCTATTGGGAGAATCAAAGATACCAAGTGGCCCAGGCCAATACAAACCGATCCTTCTCAAAGGAACCCAAACTTGATGGGCAAGTATCATGGTACACATGGTCATAGAACAGAGGATTGCAGGCAGCTAAGGGAAGAAGTGGCTCGGTTATTCAATGAGGGCTACCTTCGAGAATTCCTAAGTGATCGGGCTAAGAATCACTTCAGGGAGAGAGATGCAAGGAAAAAAGAACAAGAAGAACCACAACATGTAATCCACCTGATCATTGGCGAAGTTGATGTCCCTCAATGGCATGTGTTCAAGCGCACCAAAGTATCAATCACTAGAGAAGAACGGACTCGGAACTATGTGCCCGAGGATGTCTTAGCATTCTGTGACGAGGAAGCAGAAGGCATATCTTAGCCTCACAACAACGCCCAGGTAATCTCTATCCTTTTAAATAAAATTCAAATTAAACGTGTTTTAGTGGATCCAGGTAGCTCAACAAACATAATTAGATCGAGGGTCATGGAACAACTCGGCCTGCAAGATCAGATTCTCAAGGTCCTGAATGGGTTCAACATGGCAAGAGAAAAAACACAGGGAAAAGTCATCTTGCTTGTAAACGTAGTCAAGACCATACAAGATACGAAGTTCCATGTTATCGAAGGAGATATGAGGTATAACGCACTCCTCGGGAGACCGTGGATACACAACATGAGGGCAGTGCCTTCAACTCTTCATCAAATGATGAAGTTCCTGACATAGGAAGGAGTGAAAACAGTCTACGATGAGCAACATGCTGCAAAAGAGATATTTGCGATCGAGGAACTGGTGCCGATAACAGAGCCCTTGACCTCAGAGAAATCGAGCACCAAATGTAAGTAGGTAGCTAATAGCCATCACAGCCCCGGCCTCGACGGAACCACATGTAACCAAACTTCTTAAAAAAAAGGAAACAAACTTAGGATGTGTATAGATTATAAGGACTTGAAAAGAACATGTCCAAAATATTCTTTCCCCTTGTCAAGTGTCGATCACATGATCAATGCCATAGCTGGCCACGAGCCCTAACCTTTCTCTATGCTTACCCCGGGTACAATCAGATTCAGATGAACCCGGAGGACCAGGAAAAGACTCTGTTTATTATTAAATTTGGAACCTATTGTTACAACGTAATGCCCTTCGGGCTGAGAAAATGCAGGAAGCTACACACCAACTCCTAGTTAACAAAATGTTTGAAAAACGAATAGGCAAAACAATGGAAGTTTGTATTGATGATATGTTGGTTAAGTCCCTGTGCGCAGAGGACAATTTAGTTCATTTACAGGAAACATTTGCGATCTTGAGAAAATATAACATGAAGCTTAGCCCGGAGAAATGTGCCTTCGGGGTTGGCTCAGGTGAGTCCCTCGACGTCGTGGCATCAAATCGAGGTACCAAAATCAAAGTTATCGAGGGTATCACAATCGTGGATAGTGTGGTGGCCGTGAAAAGTCTAACGGGGCAAATGGCTACCTTGGGATAATAACTGGAAAATGTTCAGAGTCGCCTCCTATTGTCCTAACCCGAGTCTTAGATCCATCATACATATCTTTAATTACCCTAATATAGTCAATCGGGACCCCTTTATCCTCTAAGCAGCTCCATAAGACCTCCCTAGGAACCATATCGTACGCTTTCTCCAAATCAATAAACACCATGTGAAGATCCTTCTTCCTATCCCTGTATTGTTCCACCATCCTCCTAATAAGGTGGATAGCTTCTGTGGTAGATCGCTCCGGTATGAACCCGAACTGGTTGTCTGAAATAGACACCGTCCTTCGCACTCTCATTTCTACCACTCTCTCCCAAACTTTCATGGTATGACTTA